TATATATAATGGTCTGAAAGCTTCTCTTTGAAGGGGTTTAGCTGGGTTTCTTGTGCAAATTTTCTGCTTTCTTGAAATTTTGCTAATCGGTTTTGAATCATGCTGAATTTCTATCTGATTATTCTGGACATAAAATGGTGCTTAGTTGATGAAATTATTGTGGTATTCCATTCTCTTCTCTGTTAAAATTTGAAATTCAAAAGGCAAAAAATTGGTTATCATGTTCATTTTTTTTTTCTCTAAAGATAGAATTTGTTGCTAAATTGGAAAGCAACTATTGAGTTATAAAATACCTCTTTGATTTTCTTGAGGATTTACTTTGGCTTGGTTTTGTTTTCAGGTTAAAGAGATATATAGCTTCACTCAAGATGATTTAACTACTGAAGATGTACTAGTGCTAGACTGCCATAAAGAAATATATGTTTGGGTTGGACGCCACTCAACTATTAAATCAAAACAAGTAGCCCTTAATCTTGGTCTGGTAAATTAGATGTCTAGACTCTCTCAGAACTTATTTTCTCAAAGGTCTTTCTTGTGTTCTGGATTATCTGTAGTTTGGCATACCATTATTTTGATGTTGAACATTTACAAATGTTATCATTATGTGAATGTTTTATACTATTCACTTCTTTCTATGCTCTCATATTTGTATTCTTGACTGGCAGAAATTCCTTGAAACAGACATTCTGGAAGAAGAACTTTCTTTGGAGACTCCTGTATATGTTATTACTGAAGGCCATGAGCCACCATTTTTCACATGCTTCTTTGAATGGGATCCCTCAAAGGCAAATGTAAGTGGGTAATCTGCCTTAGTCAGAAGTACCTATTATTAGCTCCTTTTCAATGATGTTGGCATACTTTCACTGTCTTGGCTAATCCATATTTTTATTTAATTTTTTATGATTGTTTCTAATCAATTTCCATTAGACCTGGATACCTAGTCAGTGATGACCGGTGATGCAGAATAGGTGGATATTGGGGTTGCAGGGGGGTACTTGATAGTGTGAAATCTGTGAAGTGCCTTTATTGGATAGAAAACACATGTGTAATACAGTAGAAAATGTTTCAGCAAAAATACATAATTTTGAGCTGCTGGTAGTATCTAAGGCTCTGTTGGCATAACGATGAGATTGAGAGTAGTCAGATTGAAAACAGTAGTGACGGTGAAATTGATACCTCAGTGGTGAGACAAAATGCATTTTGTAATTTATAATTTTACAATATTTAATTTTGAAATGCGAAAAGAAATTCAATGAAATAATAATAATAAATTAATAATAATATATTTACATGTATGTCTAATTAACAAAAAATTATTATTTTTGATATATTTCAATTGTATTGTAGTAATCAATAAAATAAAAATTAGCATTAACTACTAATAGTATATTAAATAAACTAAATGAAAATTGT